AATTTCAAAATCGAAATTCTCCAAAATGACATAACATATTTTAGGGTATCACATGATCCGCCCCGCTCACTCACTTTGAATCTACTCTAAAAATCAGATCGATTAATTGTATAGAAACATTTTGTCACACCATTCCCTACATGTTAAACCACTGTGGAGTGGGGCAATATTTAGATTTTCGCATCTGACCTGACACTGATTCGAATATCAAGGTATGAATACCTTCTTCTACAAGGTAAGCTATTTTCTGTGAAATTCTTGACCTTTTTTTTGGGGGGAGGTACTCCCTTCGAAAATGATCGTGGGCTCCAGCCAGCCAGCGTTGGTCCAATGAGACATTGGGTCTAAAACTGTTATTTCGATTAGGCACGCCTTGGCTGTATCAAATGTTAATACTAGATATTGAGTCTTCTTTAAAAGTTTTTAAATTATTTTTTTATTAACTCACAGTATCGATATTCAAAAGCTCCTGTCGAAAATATCGAAAATGGTAACACTCCCGCCTATCAGTTAACCGGGATACTCCTAGTCAACTCATTCGCATTATATTTAATTTATTTTTGTAAAATCTTTATATTTGCAATATGCACATACATTTTTAAGGTTTTCGTTTTTGTTTTTTTTTTTTTGCATACAAAATATTCTGAAACGTCAGAGATGAAGGGCCTTTGAAGCATAAAATGGAAAAATGATTTTGTGTTGTGAAATAAAATAAAAGTTTTATCACACATTAATTTTGTTTAGATCTCTCGAGAAGCTAAATACTCATTATTGACCTGTAAGTTAAAAACAAATCTGGGGAAACAAAATTGAAATTGGCCATAAATTGAAAATGCTTTTTGCAAACATTTGACAGCATTAGTTAATGTGCGTTCTGCTTCGATTTTTTGCGCATTACACAACTTGTTAATAGATTTTTTTATCTGAAACATCAACATCAAGACCAAATAAATTTGTCCACAATAATGACAGGCAATAAAATAAACCTCGAGATTCCAATAAAACTTTTCGTCGATGTTGGCAATTTTCAATATCTCCAAAGCAATTTGAATTTCCGCATTATTTCACACACACAAACGCACACCAGTACACTTCTGGCTGGGTGATTTTCTGTGATTTCTTGTCTCGGCGAAATTGTCTTGTTCATTTTGGGCTAAAGTCCTTTTCGGATATCGTTTTGTATCCTTTTCATGGACGAGATTTATTTACAATCATTTCCGCTACTTGAAAAATTTAATGTCATCTCATAAAGCAACTCATTGGCGGAGCAGGACAGGAAAAAATAATAAATAATGGTCGGTTAGCATTTCCAACGTATTCCCCGTTTGGTTTTCATTCGTTTTCGTCTTCTTCGTTCCAGGGGGAGATAAACCAAGAAATTTGATAAAATATCAAGCGTTTAAACAAAAATTTTAATCGTTTTTTGTTTTGGGGTTTTTTTCGTCTAATTGAATTTACGATGTAATAAAAAGCCGGCTACCAGCTAAGTCATTTTCCTTGTTTTTTGCAAATGCAAAGCGGAAATCAAAGAAGGGGAAAATAAAATAAATCAATTTTCCCAGAAGTAGCTTTTTTTGTCCCGACTTCCCTTGGTTTCGTTTTTGCCACGTTGTCGTTCGCCACACTTAAGCGAAATTATTCAAAAAAAAAAAAAGGAAAAAATGTGAGTTGCGGTTTGTGTTGCGGCGACTACATTAAAAATATTAAACGGAAAACCTTTAATGGATTTTACCGCTTGCAGCTGACAGACAGACAGACATATAGACAGAGGGACAGACGGACAGACGGACACTGGACAGATTATTGAAATGTTGTTTATTTGCACAGCTTAAGTGAAATGAATATTTTCTATAAATATTAAAAGAAAAGTTAAGAGTGAAAAAATGAGGAATTATTTTGACTTTGCCATTCGGAGAGGGGAGCTGAGAAAACTGTGTTGAAGTACTTCCGCGGCCAGGGAAATAAATTGAACATCGACGCGGAAATTTACATGAAGTTAGAGTTTAGGACTGGGCGGAAACCTAGAATTTTTGGACGGCCATCGGACAATATTTAGCGGGTAAAATAGGCCCTAACTTTTATGTAAGCAAATACGAAAATTTCCACTAAACAGCGAATATCTTTGATCCCAGCCAAATTACAAACCCATTAAAAGGTCACTTCTGACCATTAAAGTGATGGTGATAGCCAAGAAATCGGATATATAGCAAAATAGGTACAATATATATGTGAAAGAATAGATATTATTTATTCTGATTATAATCCAAAAACCGCTGAACCGATTTTCACAATTCCCATCAATTCGGAATGGTCTCTTGTCAGAATAGGATTAAATCTAGGAAATTATAGCAACAAAAAAATTAATATATTTTGTTCCATTTTTATACCCTCCACCATACTATGGAGGGTATATTAACTTTGTCATTCCGTTTGTAACTCCTCGAAATACTCATGTCAGACCCAACAAAGTATATATATTCTTGATCAGCGTAAAATTCTAAGTCGATTTAGCGATGTCCGTCTGTCTGTCTGTCTGTCCGTCTGTCTGTCTGTCTGTTGTAATCACGCTATCTTTCGAACGAATTGAGATACAAGGCTAAAATTTTGCACACAGGTTTATTTTTACAGTAGGCAGGTTAAGTTCGTAAATGGGCCATGTAGGCCCACGTTTTCATATAGCCCCCATATAACGGTACCTCCCGATATTCGGTATTTTGATGATTTTAGCGACATTATTCACCGGAATTGTTTCAAATTTGGTATTTGAAGTTCGAAATAGATACTACAGCCTAAGACAGAAAATTGTCTGTGCAGGTCCACGTCTTCGTATAGCCCCCATATAACGGTACCTCCCTATATTCGGTATTTCGATGATTTTAGCGACATTATTCACCGGAATAGTTTCAAATTTAGTATTTGAAGTTCTAAATGGATACTACAGCCTAAAACAGAAAATTGTCTGTGCAGGTCCACGTCTTCGTATAGCCCCCATATAACTGTACCTCCCGATATTTGGTATTTTAATGATTTTAGCGACACTATTAATCGGATTTGTTCAAAATTTGGTATTTCAAGTTCGGAATGGATACTACAGCCTAAGACAGAAAATTGTCTGTGCAGGTCCACGTCTTCGTATAGCCCCCATATAACGGTACCCCCCTATATCCGGTATTTTGGTGATTTTAGCGTCTTTATTCACCAAAATTTTTTCAAATTACGCATTTAGAGTTCGTTATGGAAACTCCAATCTGTGACAGAAAATTGTCTATGCAGGTCCATGTCTTCGTATAGGCCCCATATACCAGTACCTCCCTATATTCGGTATTTTGACGATTTTAGCGATATTATTCACCGGAATTGTTTTCGTATTTGAAATTTGTAATAGATATTAAAGCCTTTGACAAAAAATTACTTATGCAGGTCCACGTCTTTGTGTAGCGCCCATATAACAGTACCTCCCGATATTCGTTATTTTGATAATTTTAGCCACATTAGTCCTCGAACCTGTTTTAAATTTTGTATTTGAAGTTCGAAATGGGTATTACAGTCTATGATAGAAAATTTCCTATGCAGATCCACTTTTCGTATAGCCCCCATACAACGGTACCTCCCTATATTCGGTATTTTAATACCCCCACTATACTATATAGTGTAAATTAAATTTGTCATTCCGTTTGTAGCTTCTCGAAATACTCAAGGTAGACATTACAAAGTATATATTAGAAATCAGCGTAAAAGTATCACAAGAATATAAATTATGGATCTGCATAAAATTCTTAGTCGGTTTAGCGATGCCCGTCTGTATGTGTGTTGTACTCACACTATCTTTCGAAAGATGAAATTTTGCACAAGTGCTAGTATGTAGGTTAAGTTCGGCCATGTCGGTTCACGTTTTCATATAGCCCCCATATAACGGTACCTCCTAATACTGATTATGCCATCATAAGCCACATTTTCTAACGGTTTTTTAAACTTCGTTACTTTGACTTCGTAATGGGTTCTACCTTCTGTGACCGAACATTGTCTATATAGGTCCATGTTGCACTATATAGCCATACCTATATTCAGTATTTTGACTATTTAAGCCACTTTTTCTTAGACACCTGTTCGATACTAACATTTTAACGGTTTTCCCTTGGGAGACATCACTTTGTACGCCCTATAGCCTCATATAATTTTCACCACATAAATTTGCTATTTTACTTTTCAAATTTTGCCACAATTTTCAAAGGAATTGTTTTAAATTCAATATTATTTTTACCTCCAGTGGCAGAACATTAAATAGGTCTAGATATTCGATGTTTTTGTTATTTGTCAAAATAATAGTTGATTAGGTAAAAACAGGTTCTACAGCATATACCCTTTGTTTAGGTAAATTAACCATAAATTTCGACCATATTCGGCGAAAGTCGGTCGAAATTTGAAAAGGTTACCTGTAGCATTTATTTGTTTTCGTTTCGACAATATTTCCACAGAACCCTTTTTAACAAATATTAGGTTCAGGTACGCGACAATTAAATGCATTGTTATTGTCAGTAAATCTGTTAATTTCAGGTAGAAAAAATAATGCAGGTAGTTTCTAGATAATCCTTGTTTAAGCCTAATACCTGATCATTACTATTAGGCACTATAAATGGAACGGGAATCCTGTAGATAGATCCTGTCTACCTGTTAAGTATCTGTTCAAACATTATATGTTGTATTTTGCCATGTAATTGGCCACCTGTAACGTCAAATACTAATTTTGTTTTGATTCTATTGTTAGGTAAAATTTTGAAAGGATTGTATATATCTGTATGAATTTTTAGTTTGGTGTTTAGTAGTAAACAGTTCGACATATAGACATAGTTACGATATAGTTACGCCATAGTTAAAACATAACAGTGCCAAAAGTGTTATAAATATATTTACGCAACAGCTAATATATAACAGTGTCATAATAAACATTAATAGAGTTTAAATACGATATTACTAAGTATACAACTATTTAATTATATAATATGCCTAGACTACGTAAGCAATCTTCTTTGCAACGCCAAAGACTAGCAACAAATCGTGTGAATGAATACCGTGAACGCAATCCATCTGACAGGCTTAGAAATGCTATGTCTATAGCAACAAGGAGGTCAAATGTAAATTTCCGGGAAGAAGAACGGGAAAGAGATCGAGTTTCTCGGCGATTGAGAAGACAAAACTCATTTAACCGAAGAATTGAACAACTACGTGATGCTTCCCAACATTCTTTTCGCAGACAAGATGTAACATATAGACAATTAGAGCGTGAACGAGATGCGTTAAACCACCAACTTCGTAGACAGGATGAATCTTACAGGCAAATAGAGCGAGAAACAGACGCTATGAACCATCAAGCTCGTCGTCAGGACGAAACCTACAGATTATCCGAGCAACAGAGGAATACTGCACAACGCTCTGTTCGTCGGGAAGATGAATTTCAAAGGCAATTAGAACGAGACAGGGATTCATTAAGCCATCGAGTTCGTCGCCAGGATGAAGTTTATAGTCAACTAGAACGAGAAAGGGATGCCTTCAATCACCAAGTTCTCCGGCAGGATGAAGTTTTTAGACAACAAGAACGAGAGAGGGATGCATTAAGTCACCAGCTTCGTCGTCAAGATGAAAGTTATAGAGAACTAGAACGAGAAAGAGATGCATTTAATCGCCAAGTTCTTCGGCAGGATGAAGTTTATAGACAACAAGAACGAGAGAGGGATGCAGTAAGTCACCAGGTTCGTCGCCAGGATGAAGTTTATAGGGAACTAGAACGAGAAAGAAATGCCCATAGTCACCAAGTTCTTCGGCAGGATGAAATGTATAGAGAAATTGAGCGAGAGAGGGACGCATTAAGTCACCAGGCTCGTAGGCAAGATGAAGTGTATAGAGAAATAGAGCGAGAGAGAGATGTTCTCAACCGTCAAGTTCGTCGGCAGGATGAAACGTTCAGACAATTTGAGCAAGAGCGGGATACTTTTCGTCGTTCCCAACGTAGACGTAATGAGAACTACAGACAAACCGAACGTGAAGTGGACTCACAACGTCGTAATGTTCGAAGACGCGATATAACTTATCGCACAATTGAACAAGTCCGTAATACTGAACAACGCCGCGAAGCGCGACGAGTTGCTAGTCAGGAATTTCAGGAGCAGAATAGGATTAGACATTGTCGTGTCTTAATTCATAGGATGAATCCTTACAACCGTGAACTTGAAAATAACCGTCAGTCCGAGAGAAGTGCTAATATTAGACAAAATCTTTCCCCAGAATCCCGCAGGGAAATGTTACAAGCCGATTCTATAAGACATAGGTCAAGACAATTGAGCGAGTTCTACGAGATAATTAGGAGGGGTCCGACAGAAATTTGTATTTGCTGCGGAGGGCTTTGGTTCAATTCCCAAATTAAAAATATCAGTAAGATCACATTATTGCGGAAATATCCACATCTAAGTGAAGTTTTCTTCCTAGCTTCAACATTTCCATCAGAAGATAATACATACAAATTTTGCAATACATGCTATAAAATTGCTCAAGGCGGAAAAATACCTTCAATATGCCTTTCTAAAGGATTACATTTCCCAGAAATACCAGCTGACCTTCGTGGTTTAACACAGTTAGAAGAGCGGTTCGTTTCACCGAGAATTCCATTCATGCGAATCGTTTCCCTAGGATACAATCGCCAATGTGCTGTAAGAGGTGCCGTTGTTAACGTACCAATTCAGTTAAATACAACTGTAAATGTGCTTCCGCGAACAGTCAACCAAACTGAAGTTGTACAAGTTCACCTCAAGCGTAGACTACAATACGAGCATAGTTTCATGACTGAAACGATAAGACCGGCGAAGATTTACGAAGCCGCAAGATATCTGGTAAATACGGAACTCTACAAAAAACACAACATAGTTCTTTCTAGCGATTGGTTAAATAGCATGAATAGTACAGAAGAACAACCCTTTATTTCTAATGTTGAAGATCTCGAGTTAGTATCGCGGTTAACCAATACAAACTTCATACAAGATGATGTGGATGAAGTGAATCCACAAGAAACCTTATTGGATAATAATCCTGTCGAGAATTTACCATTACAGAGAATTTCCATTGCTCCAGGTGAGGGACAACGACCATTAGATATGCTCTTGGATGAGGATTCTGAGGAACTGTCCTATCCTTCAATATACTGTGGTGTTAAAAGAAATTGCAGTGCTACTATTGGAAAAATTATAAGGTCTGAAGTACGGCGATATGACAGACGCTGTGCACGTGTGGACAAAGTCTTATATTGCTATAAAAAATTAGAATTTTCCCGCATTAAAGTAGCATTTCCACATGCTTGAGAAAAAAAGTTGGAAATAGACAATTTACTGCTGCAGAAATTTTAGATGATCAACTTGTCCAAAACCTTGTGCAACATGACGATGGCTATCATATATTGAAAGGCGTACGATCGTCACCAGCTCATTGGGAAGGGGAAAAGAGAAAGGTTTTGGCCATGATTAGACAGTTTGGACTCCCGACATTTTTTATAACTTTATCCGCTGCTGAATCCCAATGGCCGGAATTAATCGTTATATTAGTAAAAATTTTGGAAGGAAAAGATATTACTGAAGAAGAAGCAATATCTTACTCAACCCAGAAAAAATATGATCTCATTCGAACAGACCCAATAACATGCTCTAGGTATTTTGATCAGAGAATAAGACATTTGTTTAAATTTTTTAGGTCCAATGATGGAATATTTAAAGAGCATTATGTTATTAAACATTACTGGAGAATAGAGTTTCAACAACGAGGATCTCCCCATCTACATGGCATATACTGGTTAAATAACGCACCCAAATTAAACATTTCTGATGATGCTACATTCCAACCAGTGGTGAACTTCATTGACCGCTTCATTTCTACTGATTCGTCATCTACTGACATTCAAAACATTATAAACGTTCAACGTCACAACCATACAAGGACTTGTCAACGTGAGGCAAGAGGTCAACAATTTTGCCGCTTTCGTATTCCTTATCCTCCAATGCCTGAAACACAAATATTGCTTCCACTTCCTGAAGATATTGATTTAGATGAACTAAACCTGCATAGGGAAAACTTCGCTAAAATAAGTACATTGCTTAACGCAAATTTATCAAATGATGAAGTAGACGGACTTCAAATTTTTGATCAATTCTTATCCCACAGATGCATTAACTTAAACAGAGAGGCATACATAATGGCTATAAGGTCATCCATTAAAAAACCACAAATTTTCTTAAAAGAACATTTAGGGATAAAGCAATCAATGCATATAATCCAGATATTTTAGCAATGCAAAATTCTAACATGGATATTCAGTTTGTCTTAGATGCATATGCATGTGTATCATACATCGTTAATTATATTAACAAATCGAACAGGGGAGTTTCGAGACTGATGCAAGAAGCTATGGCTGAAATTAGAGAAGACAATTATTCCGTAAAAGACAGGCTTCAACACATTGGAAATAAGTTCATTAGCGCATCTGAAGTATCAGCTCAAGAGGCGTCGTATAATATACTGGGCATGAATTTGTCACAATGTAGTAGTGCAGAAGTCTATATTAACACATTTGCTCCTGAGAAACGAGTACGTATGATAAAATCGAAGCAAGAGTTACAAAATCTCGAAAGAGACTCAACTAATATATTTAAGACAAACATACTCGATCATTACATCCAAAGACCCGATATATTTCAAAATATGTGTTTGGCATACTTCGGTGCTTACTACAGTTATTCCCGAAAATTAAAGAAATCACGCTATCAAGAAGAAGAGGATGATTTCTTTGCGAACGATGATACCAATTTGGATCAAGTTGGTGCCCCCATCCGACTAAAAAATAATTCGGGATACGTGTACAAAAGGAAAGCGCCCGCAATTATAAGATTTCCTTCTTTCAAAGTTGAAACAAATAGGGAGGACTATTTCCGATCATTGGTTATGTTGTATTTTCCGTGGAGAAATGAAGTAGATGATTTATTACAAAATGACAATGAAAATACTTGTCTCACCCACAAGAGCACCATTGAAGAAAACCGATCACAATTTGAGTTATATAAGGAAGGAGAACTTGATGAAATATTGTTACAAGTACAAGATGAAGATAATGCCGAAAACAATGACATTGCTGATAACACCTTACTTTCTTATATGCTGGATGATGAGTTTCGTGCCCTGGCAATACCCGAAATTGATAGTAACATGAATATTTTCGATGTTGATCACAATAATGACCCGGATACTAACGATAATATTAGATTTATAAAATTAACTCCATTGGTCAGTGAAAGAGATCTTCTTGCGGACATAAGATCTCTAAATGTTAAACAACGTGCTTATTTGCATCATGTTTTACATAATCTTGTGGAAAAAAAAACTTTCTATGAATACATAGGTGGTGGTGCTGGTGTAGGGAAAAGCCGTTTAATAAGAGCAATTTTCCAATCTGTCACCCATAGACTTAATTCTATTCCTGGAAGTAATCCAGAAATGCCTAAAGTTTTACTGACAGCGCCAACTGGGAAAGCTGCATTTGGTATTGGGGGATCAACTCTACATGCTCTGTTCTCCCTGCCGGTTAACCAATATTCGGGAGAACTTCGGCCACTTAGTAGCGACATGGTTAACACAATAATTTCAAAATTAATAAATGTAAATTTAATAATTATTGATGAAATATCAATGGTAGGATCCAGAATGCTAGGTCACTTGGATGCTCGATTGAAACAAATATTTAAGAGCACTAATCCATTCGGTGGCATTTCAATTATTGCGTTTGGTGATTTCAAACAACTTCCACCCATTGGCGATAGATGGATTTTTAGTGAGAATACTTATAATCCTTACGGACTAATTGTTGGATCTAGGTTGTGGGATCTTTTCCAATTTTATGAGTTGACCGAAATAATGCGTCAAAGGGAAGATTTGAGGTTCGCGCAAGCGCTTAGTAGAATGTCTAATGGGGAAATGACGACTGAAGATGTGGATATCTTTAAGGCAAGAGTCATTCGTGACGCGAACGATGTTCCAATGGAAATCATTCATTTGTTTCTGTCTAATGAGGAGGTTGAAAACTACAACATTTTAAAATTAAACCAAATAGCTTCGGAAGCTTTCTGTTCAAAAGCACACGACGTAATAAAATGCAATACTTTGAATCCTGATCAAAGAATAAATATTCTAAATAATGTTACAAAATTTAAATAATGTTACACAAACGCACACCAGTACACTTCTGGCTGGGTGATTTTCTGTGATTTCTTGTCTCGGCGAAATTGTCTTGTTCATTTTGGGCTAAAGTCCTTTTCGGATATCGTTTTGTATCCTTTTCATGGACGAGATTTATTTACAATCATTTCCGCTACTTGAAAAATTTAATGTCATCTCATAAAGCAACTCATTGGCGGAGCAGGACAGGAAAAAAATAATAAATAATGGTCGGTTAGCATTTCCAACGTATTCCCCGTTTGGTTTTCATTCGTTTTCGTCTTCTTCGTTCCAGGGGGAGATAAACCAAGAAATTTGATAAAATATCAAGCGTTTAAACAAAAATTTTAATCGTTTTTTGTTTTGGGGTTTTTTTCGTCTAATTGAATTTACGATGTAATAAAAAGCCGGCTACCAGCTAAGTCATTTTCCTTGTTTTTTGCAAATGCAAAGCGGAAATCAAAGAAGGGGAAAATAAAATAAATCAATTTTCCCAGAAGTAGCTTTTTTTGTCCCGACTTCCCTTGGTTTCGTTTTTGCCACGTTGTCGTTCGCCACACTTAAGCGAAATTATTCAAAAAAAAAAAAAGGAAAAAATGTGAGTTGCGGTTTGTGTTGCGGCGACTACATTAAAAATATTAAACGGAAAACCTTTAATGGATTTTACCGCTTGCAGCTGACAGACAGACAGACATATAGACAGAGGGACAGACGGACAGACGGACACTGGACAGATTATTGAAATGTTGTTTATTTGCACAGCTTAAGTGAAATGAATATTTTCTATAAATATTAAAAGAAAAGTTAAGAGTGAAAAAATGAGGAATTATTTTGACTTTGCCATTCGGAGAGGGGAGCTGAGAAAACTGTGTTGAAGTACTTCCGCGGCCAGGGAAATAAATTGAACATCGACGCGGAAATTTACATGAAGTTAGAGTTTAGGACTGGGCGGAAACCTAGAATTTTTGGACGGCCATCGGACAATATTTAGCGGGTAAAATAGGCCCTAACTTTTATGTAAGCAAATACGAAAATTTCCACTAAACAGCGAATATCTTTGATCCCAGCCAAATTACAAACCCATTAAAAGGTCACTTCTGACCATTAAAGTGATGGTGATAGCCAAGAAATCGGATATATAGCAAAATAGGTACAATATATATGTGAAAGAATAGATATTATTTATTCTGATTATAATCCAAAAACCGCTGAACCGATTTTCACAATTCCCATCAATTCGGAATGGTCTCTTGTCAGAATAGGATTAAATCTAGGAAATTATAGCAACAAAAAAATTAATATATTTTGTTCCATTTTTATACCCTCCACCATACTATGGAGGGTATATTAACTTTGTCATTCCGTTTGTAACTCCTCGAAATACTCATGTCAGACCCAACAAAGTATATATATTCTTGATCAGCGTAAAATTCTAAGTCGATTTAGCGATGTCCGTCTGTCTGTCTGTCTGTCCGTCTGTCTGTCTGTCTGTTGTAATCACGCTATCTTTCGAACGAATTGAGATACAAGGCTAAAATTTTGCACACAGGTTTATTTTTACAGTAGGCAGGTTAAGTTCGTAAATGGGCCATGTAGGCCCACGTTTTCATATAGCCCCCATATAACGGTACCTCCCGATATTCGGTATTTTGATGATTTTAGCGACATTATTCACCGGAATTGTTTCAAATTTGGTATTTGAAGTTCGAAATAGATACTACAGCCTAAGACAGAAAATTGTCTGTGCAGGTCCACGTCTTCGTATAGCCCCCATATAACGGTACCTCCCTATATTCGGTATTTCGATGATTTTAGCGACATTATTCACCGGAATAGTTTCAAATTTAGTATTTGAAGTTCTAAATGGATACTACAGCCTAAAACAGAAAATTGTCTGTGCAGGTCCACGTCTTCGTATAGCCCCCATATAACTGTACCTCCCGATATTTGGTATTTTAATGATTTTAGCGACACTATTAATCGGATTTGTTCAAAATTTGGTATTTCAAGTTCGGAATGGATACTACAGCCTAAGACAGAAAATTGTCTGTGCAGGTCCACGTCTTCGTATAGCCCCCATATAACGGTACCCCCCTATATCCGGTATTTTGGTGATTTTAGCGTCTTTATTCACCAAAATTTTTTCAAATTACGCATTTAGAGTTCGTTATGGAAACTCCAATCTGTGACAGAAAATTGTCTATGCAGGTCCATGTCTTCGTATAGGCCCCATATACCAGTACCTCCCTATATTCGGTATTTTGACGATTTTAGCGATATTATTCACCGGAATTGTTTTCGTATTTGAAATTTGTAATAGATATTAAAGCCTTTGACAAAAAATTACTTATGCAGGTCCACGTCTTTGTGTAGCGCCCATATAACAGTACCTCCCGATATTCGTTATTTTGATAATTTTAGCCACATTAGTCCTCGAACCTGTTTTAAATTTTGTATTTGAAGTTCGAAATGGGTATTACAGTCTATGATAGAAAATTTCCTATGCAGATCCACTTTTCGTATAGCCCCCATACAACGGTACCTCCCTATATTCGGTATTTTAATACCCCCACTATACTATATAGTGTAAATTAAATTTGTCATTCCGTTTGTAGCTTCTCGAAATACTCAAGGTAGACATTACAAAGTATATATTAGAAATCAGCGTAAAGTATCACAAGAATATAAATTATGGATCTGCATAAAATTCTTAGTCGGTTTAGCGATGCCCGTCTGTATGTGTGTTGTACTCACACTATCTTTCGAAAGATGAAATTTTGCACAAGTGCTAGTATGTAGGTTAAGTTCGGCCATGTCGGTTCACGTTTTCATATAGCCCCCATATAACGGTACCTCCTAATACTGATTATGCCATCATAAGCCACATTTTCTAACGGTTTTTTAAACTTCGTTACTTTGACTTCGTAATGGGTTCTACCTTCTGTGACCGAACATTGTCTATATAGGTCCATGTTGCACTATATAGCCATACCTATATTCAGTATTTTGACTATTTAAGCCACTTTTCTTAGACACCTGTTCGATACTAACATTTTAACGGTTTTCCCTTGGGAGACATCACTTTGTAAGCCCTATAGCCTCATATAATTTTCACCACATAAATTTGCTATTTTACTTTTCAAATTTTGCCACAATTTTCAAAGGAATTGTTTTAAATTCAATATTATTTTACCTCCAGTGGCAGAACATTAAATAGGTCTAGATATTCGATGTTTTTGTTATTTGTCAAAATAATAGTTGATTAGGTAAAAACAGGTTCTACAGCATATACCCTTTGTTTAGGTAAATTAACCATAAATTTCGACCATATTCGGCGAAAGTCGGTCGAAATTTGAAAAGGTTACCTGTAGCATTTATTTGTTTTCGTTTCGACAATATTTCCACAGAACCCTTTTTAACAAATATTAGGTTCAGGTACGCGACAATTAAATGCATTGTTATTGTCAGTAAATCTGTTAATTTCAGGTAGAAAAAATAATGTAGGTAGTTTCTAGATAATCCTTGTTTAAGCCTAATACCTGATCATTACTATTAGGCACTATAAATGGAACGGGAATCCTGTAGATAGATCCTGTCTACCTGTTAAGTATCTGTTCAAACATTATATGTTGTATTTTGCCATGTAATTGGCCACCTGTAACGTCAAATACTAATTTTGTTTTGATTCTATTGTTAGGTAAAATTTTGAAAGGATTGTATATATCTGTATGAATTTTTAGTTTGGTGTTTAGTAGTAAACAGTTCGACATATAGACATAGTTACGATATAGTTACGCCATAGTTAAAACATAACAGTGCCAAAAGTGTTATAAATATATTTACGCAACAGCTAATATATAACAGTGTCATAATAAACATTAATAGAGTTTAAATACGATATTACTAAGTATACAACTATTTAATTATATAATATGCCTAGACTACGTAAGCAATCTTCTTTGCAACGCCAAAGACTAGCAACAAATCGTGTGAATGAATACCGTGAACGCAATCCATCTGACAGGCTTAGAAATGCTATGTCTATAGCAACAAGGAGGTCAAATGTAAATTTCCGGGAAGAAGAACGGGAAAGAGATCGAGTTTCTCGGCGATTGAGAAGACAAAACTCATTTAACCGAAGAATTGAACAACTACGTGATGCTTCCCAACATTCTTTTCGCAGACAAGATGTAACATATAGACAATTAGAGCGTGAACGAGATGCGTTAAACCACCAACTTCGTAGACAGGATGAATCTTACAGGCAAATAGAGCGAGAAACAGACGCTATGAACCATCAAGCTCGTCGTCAGGACGAAACCTACAGATTATCCGAGCAACAGAGGAATACTGCACAACGCTCTGTTCGTCGGGAAGATGAATTTCAAAGGCAATTAGAACGAGACAGGGATTCATTAAGCCATCGAGTTCGTCGCCAGGATGAAGTTTATAGTCAACTAGAACGAGAAAGGGATGCCTTCAATCACCAAGTTCTCCGGCAGGATGAAGTTTTTAGACAACAAGAACGAGAGAGGGATGCATTAAGTCACCAGCTTCGTCGTCAAGATGAAAGTTATAGAGAACTAGAACGAGAAAGAGATGCATTTAATCGCCAAGTTCTTCGGCAGGATGAAGTTTATAGACAACAAGAACGAGAGAGGGATGCAGTAAGTCACCAGGTTCGTCGCCAGGATGAAGTTTATAGGGAACTAGAACGAGAAAGAAATGCCCATAGTCACCAAGTTCTTCGGCAGGATGAAATGTATAGAGAAATTGAGCGAGAGAAGGACGCATTAAGTCACCAGGCTCGTAGGCAAGATGAAGTGTATAGAGAAATAGAGCGAGAGAGAGATGTTCTCAACCGTCAAGTTCGTCGGCAGGATGAAACGTTCAGACAATTTGAGCAAGAGCGGGATACTTTTCGTCGTTCCCAACGTAGACGTAATGAGAACTACAGACAAACCGAACGTGAAGTGGACTCACAACGTCGTAATGTTCGAAGACGCGATATAACTTATCGCACAATTGAACAAGTCCGTAATACTGAACAACGCCGCGAAGCGCGACGAGTTGCTAGTCAGGAATTTCAGGAGCAGAATAGGATTAGACATTGTCGTGTCTTAATTCATAGGATGAATCCTTACAACCGTGAACTTGAAAATAACCGTCAGTCCGAGAGAAGTGCTAATATTAGACAAAATCTTTCCCCAGAATCCCGCAGGGAAATGTTACAAGCCGATTCTATAAGACATAGGTCAAGACAATTGAGCGAGTTCTACGAGATAATTAGGAGGGGTCCGACAGAAATTTGTATTTGCTGCGGAGGGCTTTGGTTCAATTCCCAAATTAAAAATATCAGTAAGATCACATTATTGCGGAAATATCCACATCTAAGTGAAGTTTTCTTCCTAGCTTCAACATTTCCATCAGAAGATAATACATACAAATTTTGCAATACATGCTATAAAATTGCTCAAGGCGGAAAAATACCTTCAATATGCCTTTCTAAAGGATTACATTTCCCAGAAATACCAGCTGACCTTCGTGGTTTAACACAGTTAGAAGAGCGGTTCGTTTCACCGAGAATTCCATTCATGCGAATCGTTTCCCTAGGATACAATCGCCAATGTGCTGTAAGAGGTGCCGTTGTTAACGTACCAATTCAGTTAAATACAACTGTAAATGTGCTTCCGCGAACAGTCAACCAAACTGAAGTTGTACAAGTTCACCTCAAGCGTAGACTACAATACGAGCATAGTTTCATGACTGAAACGATAAGACCGGCGAAGATTTACGAAGCCGCAAGATATCTGGTAAATACGGAACTCTACAAAAAACACAACATAGTTCTTTCTAGCGATTGGTTAAATAGCATGAATAGTACAGAAGAACAACCCTTTATTTCTAATGTTGAAGATCTCGAGTTAGTATCGCGGTTAACCAATACAAACTTCATACAAGATGATGTGGATGAAGTGAATCCACAAGAAACCTTATTGGATAATAATCCTGTCGAGAATTTACCATTACAGAGAATTTCCATTGCTCCAGGTGAGGGACAACGACCATTAGATATGCTCTTGGATGAGGATTCTGAGGAACTGTCCTATCCTTCAATATACTGTGGTGTTAAAAGAAATTGCAGTGCTACTATTGGAAAAATTATAAGGTCTGAAGTACGGCGATATGACAGACGCTGTGCACGTGTGGACAAAGTCTTATATTGCTATAAAAAATTAGAATTTTCCCGCATTAAAAGTAGCATTTCCACATGCTTGAGAAAAAAAGTTGGAAATAGACAATTTACTGCTGCAGAAATTTTAGATGATCAACTTGTCCAAAACCTTGTGCAACATGACGATGGCTATCATATATTGAAAGGCGTACGATCGTCACCAGCTCATTGGGAAGGGGAAAAGAGAAAGGTTTTGGCCATGATTAGACAGTTTGGACTCCCGACATTTTTTATAACTTTATCCGCAGCTGAATCCCAATGGCCGGAATTAATCGTTATATTAGTAAAAATTTTGGAAGGAAAAGATATTACTGAAGAAGAAGCAATATCTTACTCAACCCAGAAAAAATATGATCTCATTCGAACAGACCCAATAACATGCTCTAGGTATTTTGATCAGAGAATAAGACATTTGTTTAAATTTTTTAGGTCCAATGATGGAATATTTAAAGAGCATTATGTTATTAAACATTACTGGAGAATAGAGTTTCAACAACGAGGATCTCCCCATCTACATGGCATATACTGGTTAAATAACGCACCCAAATTAAACATTTCTGATGATGCTACATTCCAACCAGTGGTGAACTTCATTGACCGCTTCATTTCTACTGATTCGTCATCTACTGACATTCAAAACATTATAAACGTTCAACGTCACAACCATACAAGGACTTGTCAACGTGAGGCAAGAGGTCAACAATTTTGCCGCTTTCGTATTCCTTATCCTCCAATGCCTGAAACACAAATATTGCTTCCACTTCCTGAAGATATTGATTTAGATGAACTAAACCTACATAGGGAAAACTTCGCTAAAATAAGTACATTGCTTAACGCAAATTTATCAAATGATGAAGTAGACGGACTTCAAATTTTTGATCAATTCTTATCCCACAGATGCATTAACTTAAACAGAGAGGCATACATAATGGCTATAAGGTCATCCATTAAAAAACCACAAATTTTCTTAAAAAGAACATTTAGGGATAAAGCAATCAATGCATATAATCCAGATATTTTAGCAATGCAAAATTCTAACATGGATATTCAGTTTGTCTTAGATGCATATGCATGTGTATCATACATCGTTAATTATATTAACAAATCGAACAGGGGAGTTTCGAGACTGATGCAAGAAGCTATGGCTGAAATTAGAGAAGACAATTATTCCGTAAAAGACAGGCTTCAACACATTGGAAATAAGTTCATTAGCGCATCTGAAGTATCAGCTCAAGAGGCGTCGTATAATATACTGGGCATGAATTTGTCACAATGTAGTAGTGCAGAAGTCTATATTAACACATTTGCTCCTGAGAAACGAGTACGTATGATAAAATCGAAGCAAGAGTTACAAAATCTCGAAAGAGACTCAACTAATATATTTAAGACAAACATACTCGATCATTACATCCAAAGACCCGATATATTTCAAAATATGTGTTTGGCATACTTCGGTGCTTACTACAGTTATTCCCGAAAATTAAAGAAATCACGCTATCAAGAAGAAGAGGATGATTTCTTTGCGAACGATGATACCAATTTGGATCAAGTTGGTGCCCCCATCCGACTAAAAAATAATTCGGGATACGTGTACAAAAGGAAAGCGCCCGCAATTATAAGATTTCCTTCTTTCAAAGTTGAAACAAATAGGGAGGACTATTTCCGATCATTGGTTATGTTGTATTTTCCGTGGAGAAATGAAGTAGATGATTTATTACAAAATGACAATGAAAATACTTGTCTCACCCACAAGAGCACCATTGAAGAAAACCGATCACAATTTGAGTTATATAAGGAAGGAGAACTTGATGAAATATTGTTACAAGTACAAGATGAAGATAATGCCGAAAACAATGACATTGCTGATAACACCTTACTTTCTTATATGCTGGATGATGAGTTTCGTGCCCTGGCAATACCCGAAATTGATAGTAACATGAATATTTTCGATGTTGATCACAATAATGACCCGGATACTAACGATAATATTAGATTTATAAAATTAACTCCATTGGTCAGTGAAAGAGATCTTCTTGCGGACATAAGATCTCTAAATGTTAAACAACGTGCTTATTTGCATCATGTTTTACATAATCTTGTGGAAAAAAAAACTTTCTATGAATACATAGGTGGTGGTGCTGGTGTAGGGAAAAGCCGTTTAATAAGAGCAATTTTCCAATCTGTCACCCATAGACTTAATTCTATTCCTGGAAGTAATCCAGAAATGCCTAAAGTTTTACTGACAGCGCCAACTGGGAAAGCTGCATTTGGTATTGGGGGATCAACTCTACATGCTCTGTTCTCCCTGCCGGTTAACCAATATTCGGGAGAACTTCGGCCACTTAGTAGCGACATGGTTAACACAATAATTTCAAAATTAATAAATGTAAATTTAATAATTATTGATGAAATATCAATGGTAGGATCCAGAATGCTAGGTCACTTGGATGCTCGATTGAAACAAATATTTAAGAGCACTAATCCATTCGGTGGCATTTCAATTATTGCGTTTGGTGATTTCAAACAACTTCCACCCATTGGCGATAGATGGATTTTTAGTGAGAATACTTATAATCCTTACGGACTAATTGTTGGATCTAGGTTGTGGGATCTTTTCCAATTTTATGAGTTGACCGAAATAATGCGTCAAAGGGAAGATTTGAGGTTCGCGCAAGCGCTTAGTAGAATGTCTAATGGGGAAATGACGACTGAAGATGTGGATATCTTTAAGGCAAGAGTCATTCGTGACGCGAACGATGTTCCAATGGAAATCATTCATTTGTTTCTGTCTAATGAGGAGGTTGAAAACTACAACATTTTAAAATTAAACCAAATAGCTTCGGAAGCTTTCTGTTCAAAAGCACACGACGTAATAAAATGCAATACTTTGAATCCTGATCAAAGAATAAATATTCTAAATAATGTTACAAAATTTAAGACATCCGAGACACAAGGTCTTTGTTTTCAGTTACAATTGAAAAAAATCGGAAAGTACATGATTACAATAAATATTAACACCGCCGATGGTTTAGTAAATGGCGCAACAGGAGTTTTAATGAGTATTGATTTCGAACGTGATTCATCAAATCCAAAGACAGTTTGGTTAAAGTTTTCAGATGAAAATGTTGGAAGGGAAGCACGACGAAAAAAGCCACACTGTACAGAACCATCCTGGACTCCAATTGAAAAGTGTACCAGATCATTTCAGTTCAAACGAAATGAACAAATTTCAATAGAACGTCGCCAATTTCCTTTGGTCGTGGCGGAAGCTATCACCGTTCACAAAAGTCAAGGTGCCACTTACGCAAATGTTGCGGTGCACACTCGTAGCCGAATGACCAGAGCAGCTCTTTATGTTGCATGCAGTCGTGCAACAAATGCGTCTGGGTTGTTCATATTTGGTTCCTTCAACCCTCCCAAACCTTTTCAAAACTCAGATCCAGTAAAAATAGAATTGGAAAATTTAAATAACAACAAAAAATTAAAACTAAATTTTGATTTTATGAAATTGGAAGAGAAAGACATTAAAATATTTTTCCAAAACATTCAAAGTTTCAACGCCCATAAAGAAGATATCAATACAGACTACAATCTCATTAATTCCAACTTCCTTTGTTTTGTTGAAACATGGACTCTTCCAGGAGAATCCTGCAGCATAATGGAGTTCTCTGAAGTAAGCAGAATTGACTGCGTAAAAAGAGCCCAAGAAAATACGAGGAATAAAAGTGGAATAATAATATTCAGCCGATCTAATATTGTAAATGACGTAAGAATTATCTTGAAAAAAGATTATAGTCAGGGATCTCAGACTCTTCAAATCATTGCTCTAAAATATAGAGATATAATATTAATGGTTTTATACAGAAACCCTTCTTTTCCGGAAACGACCTTTCGACAATTGCTATTCGAGTCTCTGAATGAAATCGATTGGCAACACGACCAAAAAATAATAATTATTGGTGACTTCAATATATGCAGGCGAAGTACACAGAGCATAACAGATACACTATTATGTACGAAAGGAATTCTTTCCCTTTTAGACAGAAATGTGCACACAACAAAGCATGAAACACAAATAGATTGGGCTTTCTCTAATATACCACATGATGATATTATTTGTAAGACTTATCCAACTGCACATAGCCATCATGACGGTATAGTAATCGCGATGTAGGGAAAGTTCTAAAAGCGACGAATAAAAATATAGATTAATAAGACATACTCAATTTTTATTTTCCTAAAATAAATCAAAATTTCGTATATACTTTTATGCATGATCATAAAAATGTATTTCTTCGAAATAGAAAATACGTATTGAGTAACAAACTTATATTACATTCGGTTTATGTTAATTTGTACATTTTATTTAAAATAAAATGCTATACAACAATTAACATATTCTACTCCTCCTAGGAATAATCCTTGGCGTGGCGGTGGAGCTAAGTACTTTCATAATTGAGAGGAAACTAATTATTCCATTTGGTTTAATATCCTTCTTGGTGGAGGGTATTAAAAGTTCGGCCCGGCCGAACTTAAAGCTGTTTTTACTTGTTTTTTTTTTTTCAATTTTATCGCATGCGATTTTTTCAATTTGACTTCCAATTTTGAATTGTAAATTTTTAAATTTTTTTTTCGGATCTGACCTAACACTGATGCAAATATTAGGATTTGCAAAGTTGAAGCAAAATTATTATCCTTTTTATCCCTTCTATTTGCAGTAAAATATTTTTTTGAATATTTTGAAAAATTGTGAGGAAGGTACTAGATTGAGTGGACCGATATTGCCCATCTCCGAACTCGATTTAAGTTTGATAATAATACAACGATATATCAAGTATGGACAAAATCGGGTACTTCCTTCGAAAGTTATCGTGCGCATCAGCCAGACAGACAGACGGACATCTCTAGATCGACTCCAAATGTCCTGAAACGAGTTTCGTCCAAAGAAACCTTGGTTCTAAATATGTCCGGTTTTGTAGGGTATTTCTTCTTTGCTGTTTATACCCTACACCACATAGTGGTAAGGGTATTATGTCTTTGTGCATTTGTTTGTAACATGGAGAAGGAAACGAGATAGACCCATAGTTACTTTTGAGAACCTTCATAGAATCACTTTCTGAGTCGATTTATGCACGTCAGTCCGTCTGTCCGTCCGTCTGTCCATGTATTCTTGTGAACAAAATGCAGGTCGCATTTATTATCCGATTGAGATGAAATTTTCCAAACAATATTTTTTGGCCCAAGGACGAACCCTATTGAAATTGGTGAGAATCGGATCAAATTTAGATATAGCTCCCATATATATCTTCATCCGATTTCGGGTTAAATGTGCACCAAATATTCACTATCAGTTCAAATTACCTGAATTTTGGCACACCCAACCGAGTTCGGCCTAGAAGCAAGTATATGAAATTTGGAGAAAATCGGTTCAGATATAGCTATAGCTCCCATATATATCTTTCATCCGATTTGATCTTTAAGTCCCTCACATTCCTACTATGCACTCCACAACCGTGATATTTGGTACCAGGTATTAGATGGAGCACAGAAATAGCTGTTTTAAATTTTATCGAAATCGGTTCAGATTTGGATATAGCTCCCATATATATCTTCATCCGATTTCGGGTTAATTGACCACCAAATGGCCAATATCAGTCCAAATGACCCGAATTTTGGCACATGAGACCGAGATTAGCCTTAAAGCAAATACAACAAATTTGGAGAAAATCAGTTCAGAAAAAGCTATAGCTCCCATATATATCTTCATCCGATTTCGGGTTAAATGTGCACCAAATGTCCACTATCAGTCCAAATTACCTGAATTTTGGCACACCCAACCGAGTTCGGCCTAAAAGCAAGTATATCAAATTTGGAGAAAATCGGTTCAGATATAGCTATAGCTCCCATATATATCTTTCATCCGATTTGGTGTTTAAGCCTCTCACATTCGTAATATGCACTCCACAAGAATGATATTTGGTACCAGATATAAGATACAGCCCAGAAATAGCTGTTTGTAATTTTATCGAAATCGGTTCAGATTTGGATATAGCTCCCATATATATCTTCATCCGATTTCGGGTTAATTGTGCACCAAATGGCCGATATAAGTCCAAATGGACTGAATTTTAGTACATCGGACCAAATTCAGCCTAGAAGCAAGTATATCAAATTTAGTGAAAATCGGTTCAGATATAGATATAGCAACCATATATATGTTTCATCCGATTTAGAGTTTTAGTCCCATACATTCGTAATATTCACTCCACAACCGTGATATTTGGTACCAGGTATTAGATGGAGCACAGGAATAGCTGTTTTAAATTTTATCGAAATCGGTTCAGATTTGGATATAGCTCTCATATATATCTTCATCCGATTTCGGGTTAAATGTGCACTAAATGGTCAATATCAGTCCAAATCACCAGTCTAGAAGCTAATACGTAAAATTTGGAGAAACCCGGTTCAGAGATAGCTATAGTTCGTAAAATGCACGATAGAATTAGATAGATTTTGATTTTGTACCAAATATCTCATAGAGCTCTGAAATGCCCTGTATAAACCTTTTTACGAGAGCTCTACTAAATATGCATAGTGGTGTAGGGTATCATATAGTCGGCCCCGCCCGACTTTTGAGCTTTCCTTACTGGTTTTTCTTGCATACCTTTTCTTTTGAAATCTTTATTAATAAAAGAGTAAAGTAATTGACTGACTGACTGACTGATTGATTCATCAACGACCAGACAAAACGGCTGAAGCTAAAATCTTGAAATTTTGGGTGAAAGTCACTCTTGGTCCGAAGGGGTCAGATAAGGCTGGGTTTTGCGAAATTCGTACTAGAACGGTACGAAAAGTATAAAAAAGTACTAAATATGGTCCCCTTTGTATTTTAGGAAGCGGTAGAGCTAGAACTCTTAAATTAAATGGAGTGAGTGAGTGTACCAAAAGGATTTTGGAAATTCGCATTATAAGTGTACGAAAAGTACAAAAATGTACTACATTTGGAACGATTTCGTATTATATAAACGGTTAGAGCTAAAAAATTGAAATTCGGAATCGAAGGTTGGGGAGTAGGCTCGATGTAAGGAGGTAGTTTTGGGAGTGTGTACTCATTAATACGAAAAGTACTAAACTCTTCTAAATTTGGTACAATTGCAATTTGAAGGAACGGAATTTGGAAATAAGATTACTTTGCATTG